TGGTGGTGGTGGTGGTGGAAGCCGCGGGATTTGGCGTAGTTGCTGACGAACTGGTCCTGCAGGAAGGAGCCCGCCGCGGCGGCCGCCATCGCATAACGAGCGCCCGGCACGATCTGAGAGCGGGGAGAGTCATTGGGCGACGGGGTCAAGCGGTCCATATCGCAGCCCGTATAGATCCTGGGAGGACAGGGTGCAGGGAAAGAAAGCAGAAAGAAAGGAATGTGGCTGGCCAGATAGACGAGGATACGGTGCAAGAGCTCGCCCTTTTCCCGACTTCCCTCCAGCTGCCGCAGCCCACGGGGGAGGGCGTGGGTTCAAACCACCGGGAAACACGGAGGGTCGTGGGTCTAAGCTGGCGATTCAGCCTGCGAGTGAAAGCCTATAGGCCAGGTTTCCCTAATTTGTCGCGTCCTCTACATGACTTGGACCATAGCTCCCACCGCTGCCCAAAACACACAGAGGCGGCCCAAAATTGGGGAAAGCTTCCCAAGGCCGCTTTTCACTAAGCAGCTGAATTACCCTGAAGAGTGTCTCTGAGCCCGTGCCAAGCAGCAGGACCTCCACAGCCGGAGCACTATCTCACCCTTAAACTAAATCACAAAATAGCCCTTCCAGCCCTGGTGATAAATAGTGCACCTTCATGATGATATATTCCCTTGGTGATGGCTGGATGAAGCTGTTAGTCCCTAGGCTGGAAATAGATGAAGATCAGTGTCCAGATGACAGAAGAGGTCTTTTATGCAAGCTGGACTGTTAAAGTTACAGCTCCCATCTTCCTGCCTTCTTGGACCAAGGATGCTACTTTGCCTTTCTCACCACAGGAATCGCAACTCATATAACCTCCCTACTCCTCTGGCCAAGCAGGAACTAAGTCAGGAGCCTGAGAATGGGTGCCCAGGTCTCTCCAAACTGCGCTAAAACCAGGGCAGGTTTTGCTTGATGGAGGTTTTCTCCGACCGTACAAACTTCCTCAAGTGAAGCCTAGCAGGAGAGGAGAACAGACAGGCCTGCACCCAACGCGCGGACCTGGGATAAGAAGCCCACCAGACGCCAATAGGGGCCGCCAATAAGGACTTCGGGATGTTTGGCAGGACAATTGCTTAATTAAGGGCATGCTTAGCATCCTGAGCACTGGAGATTCTGGGTCCCAAAAATCAAGTCGCAGAGGACAGCCTACAGAAGCACAAAAAGATACTAAAATTAGGAGAACGGGTAGAGGGGGGTGGGGGCTAGTTATACGCTCTCCACACTTGATTTCTGCTCTGAGTCTTATAAACCAGAGTTCAGTTCAGTGGTTTCCCCCCACTTACTGCTCTTCAGATGAGTTGGGCCCAGAATAATGGGAGTTGTAATCCAATGCAACAAGGGGAGGTAGATCCAGAGATTCAAAAAACAATGGGAGATTAATGAGGCTGAAGTCCTTAAAATGAGCATAGAAAGTTGAAGCTCCGCTGAAATGAACTTGCTTCATTTGGGGAGGAAAGAACCTGTTTAAAGTTGTAGAGCGCCTCTCCAGGAGAGAATGGAAGAACCATGGAAGTGGTGGACCTCAGGAATAAAAAATCAG